ATAAGGGAAAAAAATGATCAAGATGGAATATCAATATATAGCAATTCCCCAAATGAATGTAGTTATTATGTATAACATATACTAATAAAAATATTGAAAATGTTTCAAACATTATTGAAGTGATCATTTATTAGGAAAAAAAACACAATGTCAAATTACAAAGAGCATAAATCAAATCAGTCATACAAGCCTACAGCTTTGGTAATAACTGAAAAAGTAATCAAGCATTTGTACTAAAGAGGACATCAGTTAGGCATGGTGACACATGCCTGTCTTCCCAGCACTTGGGAGGCTGAGGCAGAAGGACTGCCACAAGTTCAAGGCCAGCCTACATAATGAGACCATGTCTCAAAAAACAAAAAAAGATATTAGACTCAAGAGGTCTTATGAACAGTATTCCCAGGTTTCAAGGAGATCCTTAATATTAAACTGTTTTAGATGACAAAAAGGTAAAAAAGTTTGCCAAGTTCTACACAAAAGCAGAACTACAGACCCTAATATCAAAAACCAGATAGAGGGCCGGTATTTAGCTCAGTGGTTCTACCGCCTGCCTCTCAAGTGCAAGGTCCCGAGTTCAATCCCTGGTACCAAAAAACAAAACAAAAAAAAACAGATAGAAAGAAGGGAATTCTAACACTAGGAAATCCAATGTTATTTTTCATTATTATTTTCATATTAAAGGAAACAAACCAATCAATTGAGCAAATACTGATAACTTTCCAACCTGTACTGAGAATGTAACACTTAACTCCTTGCGAGCCCAGAAGGGCAAGCTCTGCGCCTGGCCAGCAGCTCCTCATCCCCTACCTCCGCGCAGGCAGGTTGACCCCTGCTGCCAGGGTGGACGTGCAGGTGAAAAGGCAGAGGGTGCCGGCGTAGTAGGCCTCTTCCAGCAGCTTCCTCTCCTCGCTGGTGAGGCCGCCGTGGTGGTAGGCGACTCCGAAGGGCACGGTGCGCTTCAGGACAGGGCACAGGTGGCCCCCGCTGATGCTCCTCAGGTTCTTAATCAGCTCACATTTCTCTTTCTCTCTGTGCTTCAGATATTCCCTGAAAGAAGATGTTAGAAGAACTAACTCTTCATTTTACAGTGATAAATTCTTATCATTTTCATCTGAGATGCCATGTACACATCTGCTATATATATATTTTTTGGTTTGGAGTTTTTGTTTTTTAATTTGAGGTACCAGGGATCAAACTCAGGACCTTGTGCTTGCCAGACAGGTGCAGGGACACTGAGCTATATCCCTGGCCCTATATAATGTACTATATTGATGTAAGCACATAAAATGTTCTTGGAATTTCAATTCTGACTTCATTAATTCAAGCTTCTTGTGGATTCCAGAACCCTATAAAAATCTGATTAAAGGGCCGGGATGTAGCTCAGTGGTGCCACCGTATGCCTTGCAAGCACAAGGTCCTGGTACCAAAAAACAACAACAAAAAAATTCTGGTGGGGCATGGTAGTGAACACCTGTAATCCCAGCACTCGGGAGGCTGAGGCAGGAGGATCGCTGTGAGTTCAAGACCAGCCTGGGCTACATAGTGAGTTCCAGGTCAGTCTCAACTGCACAGTGTCTCAAAAAAAGAAAAAAAGAAAAATTCACTAAAACTAATAAAAAATATAATTATTCAAATATAAATACAACACTGTGCATAATTTCAGATGGTTCACAGAAGTTCATTACCATAATTCCTATGAATCCTTGGACATCGGGTTTAGACCCTTGCTCTAGATGTTATGATTGTTTTTTTCCCTGCAATATATACCCTTGTAGAGCATGCTTTACTCTATTTCAAGGCATAAATTTTCCTGTCTGAAGATGGACACGTGTATTAAATCACACTACATGGTTATGTGGTAAAGTACTATCCAAATACTAGGACTTAAATAGAAACTTTAATAATATCTTAAATGTAGTATCTCTAGTTACTTCAAGTATCATAACACCTTAAATTTTTTAAGGAAAAGAACTAATTCAAGTACCTAAATACCTTAAATTAGTCTAAGAAAATTAATAATTTGCTGAGTGTATTGATACCTTATTCTAAGAAAATGAGTGATTTACTGAGAATATTTGAATGGTAATTCATCATTGTAAAAGATTATCTGTTACCAGCTGGGTGTGGTGGTGCATGCCTATAATTCCAGCACTCTGGAGGCTGAGGCAGGAGGATCACTGTGAGTTCAAGACCAGCCTGGGCTACATAGTGAGTTCCAGGTCGGTCTCAACTACATAGTGAGACTCTGTCTCAAAAAAAGCAACAAAACAAAACAAAACAAAACAACAACAACAACAAAAAATATATATATATATATATCTGTTACCAAAATCAGCAACTCCTCAATCTTATGCCAAATATCTCTACCATTCAGTGAATTGAATTACACTGTAGGCAAATCTATGGTAGTAATATTGGGAAGGGAGATGGAGGATGACTAGATTAGAATCCAGGTTAATAGTCTCTTATTAGTGTATAAGAAGTGAGAAAAAAAGGTAAAACAACACATGGGACAAACAGATGCAAAAAAATATTGAACTACTAGTATTCAAAGTCACTTTATCCTTATCTGAGTAAAAACAGAACCAACATTAAAGAATCACAAAATTCCAAACCAATACATTTCTTAGGTACTTAGGAAATTAATCTCAAACATCCACACAATGTAAGTGTGAAGTTGACTGAGAAAACAGAAACCACGGCATTTCATTCCTGAGGAAGTTATGATGCAGATGACTTGTCCCCACCGTGATTAGTCCTTTGCTTTGTTCACTGTATGTAGAACTGGCCTGGGTCCCACTCTCAGAGTCTCTGATTTGTCTAAAACGTAGCCTGGACATTGGGATTTTTAAAGTCATTGGGATTCTTTCAAGTGAATCAAGGTGGTTCACTGAACTGTCACAGTTTTGAATCACAGATCTAAAACTTTATTCTGGTTATCATTCTCTTAATGTAATCTTGGGAATTTTCTATGTTATTTTATTTATTTATTCATTCATTTACTTATTTATCGTTCCAGGGATTGAACTTGGGTCCTGTGCTTACACAGCAGGCAGTGGAACCACTGAGCTAATCCCTGGCCCTTTCAATTTTAAATGTGAATTTCACAGTTAAATTTTCCAAGGTCAATTTCTTCAGAATCTAGTAAAAATATGTTATGCAAGAAGTTTTAAATACTCAAGAAACAGACTATACAACCTATAATTCATGATATAAATAGAACAGAATACTTGTAAAAGGTTTACATACTTGTTTAAAAATTTGCATAACATTTCTGCTACGTTTTCACAGTTCTTCTTACTGGGACAAAAAACTAAGCAGGAATAGCTGGGTATAACTTCTGTCACCAGTGCCACCAAGTGATCGGGATCCATCTTTTTCAGAGCATCAGAATACTGCAAAATAACAAGACGCAGGAAACAGGAAGTTAGTAACTACTGAAGTTTGTTGGTTTTTACCACTGTAATTTGAAAGATAAGTTAAACCACCCATAATTCTGAACTTCTCATTTAGTTCATCTGATCATTTAAAGAAAAAAAATGAAACCTATTTTAGACCTCAAAATGCTACATTTCACCTTCCTCTTAATTTGTTAGGTATATTTAGCTTGAAAAAAGGAATTAAAGAAGTGAATTAAATTACAGTAGTGAAAATAACTGATAACACTACTACATGTCCAGAACAAGAAAATCCACAGAAACAGATTTATACTTTTTTATTTTTGTCCTATTAATAGCTGAAGGGCTGCATAAATAAGATATGTTCTTTATTACCAATAGTTCTCAAAAACACAGACTTACTAATACTAAAGGACATACTTTCAGAAACAAAAAATACTATAACACTGAATTAGGATAATTTTTGTAACATGTAATCATAAGGAACTTGGGAAAAAAAAGGATAAAGTTATTTAAAATCTCCTCAGTGCCTTTTAGTTTACTGAGAATTAAGATATAGATTTAAAATATCTTATAGAATTCAAAACCCACTTATAAAATTCCTTTCTCTTTTTTTAACATCCAGCCCTTTAAAAACCTGATTGAAGGCAGGCACACCTATAATCCCAGCTCTAGGGAGGCTGAGGCAGAACTGCCCTAAATTTAAGGCCAGCCTGAGCTACATAGTGAGTTCAAGGTCAGCCTGAACTGCATGGCAAGAATCTGTCTCAAAAAATAAATAAAATAAAATAAATAAATTTTAAAACAAAAGAAAAAAAATTGGATTGCAGTACCGGAGATTGAATCCAGGGCTTTCACACTGAACTATGTCCTTGACCCCTTTTTAACTTTTATATTTTAAGGCACTGTCTTGCTAGATTGCTGGGGCTGGGCTCAAATCTGTGATCCTCCTGCCATAGCCTCCCAGTGTACTGGGATTACAGGTGTGCACTACTATGCCAGGATCTTTTTTATTTTTTTTTTTTAATTTTAATTTTTGCAGCACCAGGAATTGAACTCGGGATCTCGCACAGTGCCACTGAGCTAAATCCCCGGCCCTAAATTTTTTTGTTTTGAGAAAAGTTATTACTGAGGTGCTCAGACTGGCCTAGAATTTGTTTTTGTTTTTGTTTGGTATTGGGGATTGAACTTGGGACCTTGTGCTTGCAAGGCAGGGGGGAGCGGCAGAACCACTGAGCTAAATCCCTGGCCCCTGAATTTGTGATCCTTGTGGGATTAATGGCAGCCATCAACATTTTTATTCCAAAACACCAACTATATGGCCTATAAATTATTTGTTCTTGCTGCTGATTGAATAGACATTTACAGGAGAGGCTTCCAGATTTTCTTGGTTCTCAGAGTCCCAAGGCCAACAGAAATATTTATGTTTCATTAATTAGTCAGGTCCAAACAACTTCATAAATACATATTTCACCCAATTTAGTAGCCATCTGAATAAAAACAATTTTAATTCTTCAGTAACACAATGGCTCATTAACAGGTTGTGGACACAATGGTAGCACCTTACAAACTTTGGATTGAGATTGGACACAGCCACCATCGTTCCAGACTGATTTTCACATGATATTGGCATTCAGCAACTATAAAAACTTCACAAAGGTAAGACATCAAAGAAAGGAATATACTGTGATCTGACATTAAAACTGGAAACTGGGGGTGGGACGGAGCTCAGTGGTAGAACAGCTGCTTAGCATGTGCGAAACAAAACAAATGAAGCAGAGCAGGGAACTAGCTGCACAGAACCAGTAGTTTGTATGCTGTCAACGCATATCCTGATCAGCCATTTTTCTCAAAAATGTATAACAATCCAATGGCACCTATGTGAATCTTCCGTTATGCCCACGACAGCTGGGCACAAAGTATGGAAGCTGAGATTTCAGGATTATAAATATTACCTTACACTGAAGGAGGCGTGAAAAAGTCATGCCAGTTTCAGCTTTGCTGTCAACCTCATATATTGTATGGTTTATTTTCAGATATTCTTTTAATTCAACCTGAATTAAGATGAAATTTGCAATTAGTACCACATATGAACTCTTTTTTTTTTGAGACAGGGTCTCACCATGAAGTTGAGACTGACCTGGAACTCACTATGTAGCCCAGGCTGGTCTGGAATTCACAGCGATCCTCCTGCCTCAGCCTCCAGAGTGCTGGGATTATAGGCGTGTGCCACCACGCCTGGCTGAACTCTTCTCATTTTTAAATTTTGTAAAATATGAGATAAAAAGGTCAGCTATACAAAGATTTTAGCTTTTCTGTAATAGCTAAATTAAACATTCTTTAACTTAAAAGTTCCTACTTGATCATTTTTATCCCTCTTTTTTCCCTTTAAATCAAAATAAGGATTCATACCCTTGAAAAAATATTTTTGAGTTACATAGTCACATATTAAAAGGAAACCAAGCACTTTTGTGTTTGTTACAAGAAGTATAAGTGGCAGGGCCAGGTATTTAGCTCAGTGACACTACATCTGCCTCACAGCGCAAGGTCCTGAGTTCAATCTAAAGCACCCTCCCCCAAAAAAGTGCAAGTGGTCTTTACAGTCTTTGTTAAGGAGTTATTTCTCAAAACCTAAAATTTTCTGTTAGTTATCAGTTGTAATTCTAAATACTACCATATTGGCTGGTTGTGGTGGCGCACACCTGTAAACAAGGTCCTGAGTTCAATCTCCAGCACCCTCCCGCAAAAAAGTACAAGTGATTTATGGTCTTTACAGTCTTTGTTAAGGAGTTATTTCTCAAAACCTAAAATTTTCTGATAGTTATCAGTTGTAATTCTAAATACTACCATATTGGCTGGTTGTGGTGGCGCACACCTGTAATCCCAGCACTCAGGACGCTGAGGCAGGAGGATCTCTGTGAGTTTGAGACCAGCCTGGGCTACACAGTGAGTTCCAGGTTCAGTCTCAACTACATAGTGAGACCCTGTTTCAAAAAAACAAAAAAAAAACAAAGCAAAAAAACAAAAAAGAAACAAACACACAAAAAATACCATATTATTTTCAGTTTCAGTATTTGTGAAAAAAATAGTTTACAAACACAGCTCATTACATTTTTGAATGGATAGTGTCTACTGTGATAAGGTCTGAAAATATTTCTTAAAAATTTGTATATTTGGGGGCTGGGGATATAGCTACACGGTTTTGCCGCCCTTCTTGCAAGCGCAAGGACCTGAGTTCAATCCCTGGTACCAAAAAAAAAAAAAATTGTTTATTTGGTGTGAATGTAAACGTATCAAATTTCAAATTAAAAATTGGTGATTTGAAAATCTATTCGACACAGAACATTCACACTAAATCTGAAAATATTTCTTAAAAATTTGTATATTTGGGGGCTGGGGATATAGCTACACGGTTTTGCTGCCCTTCTTGCAAGCGCAAGGACCTGAGTTCAATCCCTGGTACCAAAAAAAAAAAAATTGTTTATTTGGTGTGAATGTAAATGTATCAAATTTCAAATTAAAAATTGGTGATTTGAAAATCTATTCGACACAGAACATTCACACTAGTACTGCAGACAGTATATGTCCATTACAAGCTACTTTCTAGTTGCTATGAATTGTATTTGTTTCTTTCCTTTAAGTGATTTAGGAATGCTGCTACTGAGGAGTTTAAATTTAAATCTGTGCTAGACCAGGGATTTAGCTCAGTGATGCTGCCACCTGCCTCACAAACACAAGGTCCCAAGATCCATTCCCAGTACCAAAAAGAAAAAAATTTAAATTTATGTTAGGTCTTGTTTTATCGTTTGTACCAGGAATGGAACCCAGAGCCTGGTGCTTGCCATGCAGGTGCTGCACCACTGAGCTACATCCCTGGCTGCTAAGTCTGAATTTATTAAAACCACAAAGCATAGATACTTGAAAATATTTTCAGATAAAGTTTTTAAGGTATCAGTAACTCTGAATGTGCCTCACTAAACTACAGTCAAATGAAAATTTTACTTTAGGGCTGTGGATTTAGCTCAGTGGTTCTGCTACCTGCCTTGCAAGCACAAAGACCCGAGTTTGATCCCTAGTACCAATTTACTTTGGCGAATAAGAAATGAAAAAATGAAACAAATCTGAAAAAAATTCATTCCATAAATGTCTCCCAAGAGCTCAGAAGCCAAGCAATGTTCCAGATGCTGTAGACACAAGAGTGAGCCCAGAAGAGACTCCCGCCCCCAGAGTTTCATCCACTGTATACAAATCTGAGCAGAGCCACGGTGATTGGAATCAACACTCCTATGACTCCCCGGAAATGGTAAATTACCACGTTCACTCCTTTTGTTTCCAAGGTGAAGACACAAGAAGTCAATAGTGTGCAAACCTTAGGTACATACATACTGGTCTAAACTGACTGCTGTAATATTCTGCTTGAAGGAACTCCTGCAGGTCCTGGACATTGTTTAATGTTGCGCTCATACCAATAATTTGAGTTGTTTCTAAAAAAGGAAACAAAACCTCAAAGTAGTAAAATGTGTTATTATATCATAAAGTAATTTTAGTAACATTTTAATGCTCTAAATTCTTCCTAAGTGATCTGGGAAGCGGGGTGGTAAGAAAGTTGTAAACACATGTTGAGTATCCTTCACCTGAAATGTGTGGGGCCAGAAGTGGTTCAGATTTCAGCTATTAGAACAGTATTTTGGGGAACTGGGGATTTAACTCAGCGGTACCACCACCTGCCTTGAAAACACAAGGTCCTGAGTTCGAGCCCCAGTACCAAAAAAAAAAAACCTATCTTGGGGAGGTGACCAAGGCCTAACACAAAACCCACTTATGTTTCACATACACCTTATACACAGTCTGAGGGGATTTGACACAAAGTGTTTAATTTACCTATGCTTTGATTGTGACTCATACATGCAGTGAAGTTTTCTATTTATGGCACCACATTGGCATTTGGATTTTGAAGCATTCTGGATTTAGATTTTCTGATTAAGGATAACCAACCTGTACATTATCAGACTATTAATCTGACACTCAAAAAATGAAACCTTTCAGGTATCCTGACTGTGCTATGAACTTTGGGATTTAGATTACAGGACAAGAAATCGTACGATGGACTGAATAGGTCTGCATCCGGGAAATACCACTGGACCCGTAACAGACAAATCAGGCTTGGGAGCAGAGAGGTCAAGACTAAAGGCAGAGGAAGAGTTTGCATTCTGTGGCAGCTCAGGTGAAAAAGAATGGTGGGGGGAGTAGGTAGTCAGAGACACATAAAGGAGAGAGTTTAAAATATACTCATGAGGCCCAGGGATTTAGCTCAATGGTGCTGGCGTCTTAACTCACAAGCACAAGGTCCTGAGTTCGATCTCTGGTACCAAAAAAAAAAAAAAAAAAAAAAAAAAAAAAAAAAAAAA